TACCACATAGGGATCAGCAAATGTTGGAAAGTGATTATATGTTGTTGGTATAAATGATTGTAAAGTCATGTATAAACCGTTTACAAAATTTTTCCATGTTAGGAACATTTGGGTTAGATTGAGTTCTTTGGAATAGTTCTTTAGAAAGTTTATTGTGGCGTTAACTCTGCAGAAAGGCAGACCTACAATATTACTGCAACCTAGGTTGCAGCTGATCCTACAAGCCACTCAGTACCTGCAATAATCCTTCAGAGTCATCCCAAATGGAAGCAAGCAGTGGGGATTTTGTAGCCCCCCATCAACTAGTCTTTGGTTTTGGGCTGTCCCAGTGGAGGGAGGGTGGTGTAACCTTGGCCAAAGGAATCTTCTGTCTCAGGAGGGATTCAACTATTGACCAGTAGCTCAGCCTTGAAGTAAGCCTAATGGCAGAACTCCTCAGTGTTCAACACCACTTTTTTTATGTTGCACAGATCCATTTGCCACCAAATCTGGGCATACTTTCTCCAGTCCTTTGGTTTGCTTCACTTCCTGGGTGACTTATGTGAGAAATGTTGGTGGAATGAGCCGCAGTTGAGGTTGCTGTAGTTGCTCTCAGAGAAGAAATGGAAATTCATCATCCCCATTCTTGCCTACTCATTTTAGCTTCTAACTCTCAGCCAGCATCTCTACTTGTCTGGATGGTTTGCCTGATGGGTGACCCAGATCTTTATCCCTAAGGGGTTTGAACCTCATTTCTCAAGCCTTGAGTGTTTTTCCTGACCATTTACTGCTAATGTTGCATATAGGAGCCCAGAGAGACAGGGTAGTGGATTACTGGAGCTCCCACTGTATGGAAAAAGGGCCTATCTCCTTCTGATGATCAGGGAAAACTATCTCCGGCAGGTTTTCTAGCCTTTGGACTCCAGGATATACACTAAGAGATTCCTCCCTGGGTTCTCAAGTTTCTAGTCTTAGACTGAAAGTTACACTTTTGGCTTTTCTGGTTCTGAGGCCTTCACGCTTGATCTGTGTCACACTACCAGCATCCCATGGTCTCCAGCCTGCAGGCAACCTGTCCTTTAAATTTTCAGCCACCATAATTGTGTAAGTCAATTCCTTAATAAATCCCTTCTCATTCATCTATATACATAAAACAACATATGTGTATATTTTCTGTCTCTCCCCAAACCCTAGCACACGGGAGCTTAAGGGCCAGAGTGGGGGGCAGGGACGAATAGGTGAAGTGTAGGGGATTTTAAGGCCAGTGGAACTGTTCTGTTCCCTACTCTATGATACATTGGGGTATATGTGCATGTGTCAAACATGCATGTGTCCAATATGCCTGCAGAACAGGAAATATGGACTCTAATATAAACTGTGGACTTTACTGAATAACAATGTTTTAGCATTGACTTATCAAGTACAATGAATATACTACACTAATGGAAGATGTTAATAATGGGGAAGAGTGTGAGGTGAGAAGGGTGTATAGGGAACTCTGCACTATCTCAAGTCTTCTGTAAACCACATTTAAAAAAATAAAGAATATTAACTAAAAGAAAAAAGAAAAAAGTGAGCATCTGCTTCTGTAGTCTATCAGAGGTAGCCACATTAGCACTAGCTGTGACTAAACTGAAGAGAAGATATGCTTAGAAGCAGAGGAGAAGAGCCCTCATTGTCATAGACTGAACAAAGCCCTTTCAGAATTTGTGAACTATCTGGACAAAAGTCTACAAATAAATAGCTGCTTTGTTTATGGATGCATAACAGGTATCACCAGAACTTGACTCATGCTTCTGGATTCTTGCTGTCTCCACAATGAACTATGGCACAAGCATTGTTTCTTGCTCTACACATTCATAGAATGGTAGGGGATCTGGTCCTGTGACAGGACATTTGATAAACAAACAAGGCAAATTGGAGTTGATTCTTCTGGTGATTGTCAGTGCTGGCGTTTTTCCTTCTTGCAGTTACCCTAAGTTCCTGGCATCTAGTTTTATCTTCCCTCCCAAGCCAAAAGCAGAATGGACTTGACCTCAACTGACAGAGAATGTGGAAGAATGCATATGCATTGAAAAGTAATCCAGTAAGTTGACAAAGTTAATGAATTTTCAGAGGATTTTTTTCCGTACCACCCAGTGAGAGCCCACATTTTGAATATTTGCTCAAAGGCAATGTGGAATTGACTTATTTATTATCTGGTTCTTAAAACAGAACATAGTTCCAGTTATTGCTTCCTTGTCTATTGTTGGTTTGTTTGAATATTTAGAAACCCTAAAATTCTTCATTTATTTGTTTATTTACTCAGTTAACATTGATTAGCTACCATGTGACAGGCACTGTATGCATGAAATTGCTAGTGGAGAGCCCCCACTAGCAATATCTGTCCTATTACATTACCAGATGATAAGCAATGGGAAGATTCTTTCTTTTTTTCTCCTTATTCCTGCCTCAACCATAATGGACCTTCCACTTTCATTTCTTCCCTTTTCTTACTCTTTTCTTGGAGATGAGACCTGTGTGGTTTGAGGTCTACCATCTTTGGCACCATTTGGAACAAGAGGAATTGAACAGGGTCCAGCCCAGGCAGGAGAAGCCCATCTCTGCAATTTCACATATATGGGAATGCTTCTGCCACATCTTATCTGTGTAGCACTCTTTGGATTTGCATGGAATATTTATCTCCATAAACCCTGAATTGGATATGCAGATTGTCATTAATTTCAAAGCTGTCCTTTTACAGCATTTACATGTGCTATGTAAATAATGTTGAGTGAAACAAAGCAAAAAAGTCATGAGCTCTGAAACCTGCAGATGTAGGGTGGCATTCACTGGGAAATGAACATCGAAGTCTTGTATTTTGAAGAATGTGAAGGGAGGGCTGCGGCTATAGCTCAGTGGTTTTGCTGCCTGATGTGCAAGCATAAAGACCCGAGTTCGATCCCTGGTACAAAAAAAGAAAAAAGAAAAAAAGAAGAATGTGAAGGGAGGCTATGAATACCCTTTTATGGCTATGCTTGGGAGTGCACATTTCTGTAAGGGGCTGATCACTGGTGGTTGATAGGTCTCCTGTCTTATGACTTCTCTCCATTAGAAGAAAATGAAATGTTTCCTGCACACTTAGCAATCATAGAACTAACATTGCCTGTACTTTAAAAATCTTTGGCAAGAATGTGAACTACTTGAGTATGAAAGAGAATATGTCTGTTATGAATTATATCCATTTAAATGTTTATAAGAAACTCCCAACTGAAGGTGACAGCTGAAGTACTGAATGTGCATCATTAGTTGGACATCTTTTTAAGTAGAATTTTCCTTAGAATTCTTTGGTGACAGACAAAATTTTGTTAACTGCAGCTGTTGCTTTATAAATTCCCCATGAAATGGCACTTAAAAGTAAATTAAAAGAAATACTTTACAGTTTTGAACTCCAAAAATTAAATAAAACTTCCCAACTTAAGTAGAAAAATCAATATAACTTAGTAACCATTTGAACACTAAGGGAAAAGGAGAGGAATCAGAAATTACATCTAGTAGAAGTATAACCAACTTCAGGGTGGGGGTGGTTGGTTCCAGTGAACACAGTACAACTCCAGTTAGAATAAAAGCCATCTGTTTTGCATGACAACTCTATTCCCTAATATCAAATGGGTAGTAGTTGTGACATTGACCTTGTTTACATATGTGTATATGGAGGTAGTGTTATTCTGATTATTTCATATCAAAGTGATATGCCAAGCACAGATTTATCTGAAGAAGCTGGGATTTAGTGAATGAATAACTGTGGCTCTTAAGTTCTTCCTTATAGTCAGCAGCTGATAAATGATCTCATTTCTGTCCCTGATGATTCTTTCATTTATTCAAATGAATGCACTAGAGCGCTACTCAGGGTGTTTGAAGCAACTTCACTAGTATCTTGATTGGTCATGCAAGCAACATGTAGAGTTAGAAATTCTGCATACCACAGAAAACATCTTTTCTACTTTTAGTATTTTCCTGGTTTCATTTATTACACTTAAATTAAATATAGCTGGAATTTATTTTGGTGTCAGTAGTAAGGTAGGGCTCCAGCTTAATTATTTTCCTTTCAAATTGGTAGCCAATTATCTAAAAATCATGTATTAAGGATGTAATTTAAAAATGTGCACACGTTCAAAGCTATTAAAAAGAGTATTAATACAAATGTGGAAAAATTTTTAGTACATCTTTCTGTTTAGATAGTTTATTCTAATTAAGATGAATTCAAGGCTTAATGAGGACTTCTAAAAAATAAATTCAAGCAGGGCATGGTGGCACATGCTTGTAATTCCAGCACTCTGGGAGTCTGAGACAGGAGAATTATGAATTTGAGTTCAGCCTTGGCAAGTTAGTAATTTAGTGAGACCGTCTTAAAATTAAAAAAAAAAAAAAGAGCGGCTGAGGTTGTAACTTAGTGCAAAGGCTGTGGGTTCAACCCCCATTATTCTCCCATCCCTCAGTATTCAAGAACTAGGAAGAGACTTTTTTCTACCTACAAAAGTTTAAAGAGGGGCACTGAATTGAAGCTACTAAGAGGAATAAAGTGACTTGTATCAGAAATGTAGAAACAAATATTTTGCGATGTACATAGACAGAAGACTACTTATGACAAAATTATCTATATGCTGCCTTGTTTCTTGGGCATCTGTATACCTCTGGACTCTGTGAGTAGAATCATAATCATCTTTTTGCTTTGGCAAACACAATCCTAAATGATATAGTACAATTTTTGTTAGTGTTTCTCTATCTTCACTTTTTATTTAGCAAGGATCATTTTTTTAAATTTGAAAAGCATTACTAGAAATAAAGAATATTTTGAATGGTGAGAGCTAAAGAAGAAATGACAATAATTAAGACAGTAAAGTGTTTAGTGGAGAGGATAAAATAATTAGAGAAATGTAAGTTAGTGTACTGAATGACAGCTATTTTATTATGACCTGGATGTTAAGTGCCTGAATAGTCTGCACTTTGTTTTTGATAACAAACACACAAATAACCAGTAAAAGAGTTGATTTTAGAAATTTATTATTATTTTTTTAAAAAGCAACTTCCAGGGTTTGTCATTGTACAGGTTCAGCCCAGTCTCCCATAACATGGTACAGTGATAACTGATTTTTTATAACAATGACTCAGAGGCATTGAAGATCCATAACTGAATTATAACAGAAAAAGAAAGAGTTAGAAGAAGAGTTTAATGTTAAGTGCATTCAAAAATCATATTCTAATTCTTTTAAATTGGTTATCCAAGTATGATAATATAGCTGAGCTCAGATAACTAGAAAAGGTTCCATTCCCACCTGGTGTGCATTATCAGGCTTTTTACTGCATATATCTTTATATAGTTTGCAAACTAATTCAACCCATTTTACACAACATTACTTTTTTTTATTGAGTTGGCATTGGGCTGAAACTGTTGCTTATTTTCTTAAAATTATGATTGTTTTCTAGTTTCTGGATTGATTTCCCCCATCTGATGCCATGTTTGCAATTTAGTTTACATATAATATTTCAATATTATCTCTGCTCATTCTAATGAAATTTATAGTGAGATTACCTATGGCCAGATATTCAAGACTATCAATTAATTTGTACACCAGCTCTGTTTTATACCTTGATAAAAGAGAGACCTCATGTCTCAATGAAGTGTATACCATGCTCCTGGCAAGAAACTGTGAGCTGGTTGTCAACAGAGGGGACCACAGTTCCTAGCAAGGTTCTTATAAATGCTGTGCATCAAGGGTCTCGTCATTTTTGTAACTATTTGTACATTTATAAAGGCAATACAGCCATGGGAAAAACCAACAAGCACAGCTTGGTAGAATAACTGCCATGAAATATCACTGGCTTTATAATAATTTACTACAACTGTTCTTTTTATTCACACTGGATAGGAAATGCTTCCATCTAACACATGGAATATGAATATATACAACCAAAATTTGGCGTTTATAAAAAAAAGAGAGACTTCATAAGGACAATAACACAAGGGTTGAAAAAAATAATTTTGTGCAGTTTCCTGATCACAATAATATGTCTTCTCTCTTTTACAGGGAATGACACAGAATGGATGGATTTTTGTAAACCAGTTAAAGAATTCTCCTGCCTGTAATAGCCTAGTGTGAAAATGCACTGTATTACCTTGTTCATACAGTGTGTAGAGATTTCTCCTTAACTGTAATCCTGAATGACTATAGATGATGTGGTGGGTTGGTTTTAAAGACAAACCCTGCTAATTCTTTTCAAAATCATCATATATTTGCAGTTCTCTATTTCCTTGGAACACGCTGCCACACAACCTCATGGAAACTGCACAGGGCTTCTGAGTGATGTGCTGTTGAAATCTTGAATGTGCCTTTTCATAGGATGCTGCCATCTTGATGCACAGCAATATCAGCATCATGGCTTCAACTTTCTGGTAGTTGCACAAGTTACGTGGCAATGGTGTGAGTGGACTGTTTTGTACTGCCAGCAGTCAAAACAGTTGTCATGGGCTCAATGTCTCCATGGTATGAGCCCGGGAATCCATTCTAAGGAATGGTTTTCTGGGGCCCAGCAATGTCACTGCAGGTGGCTGAGACATGCCGGTACCTGCTTCATGAGGGACTATACTAAAGAATTAGCCTAAGTATTCTAAAAAATAGACAATGCAGCAGAGTTGGATGAGGGGGAGGGAGGCTGCTTTCATAAATTCTGAAAATTATCTCTGATTTTTAGCTCTGAGAAATCTGAGAGGTTCTCAGGCAATGGCAGCCATGTGAGAAAGGGAGGGCCTGAGGTACACTTGGAGAAGTGTCATTCTGGTGTTGGCCTTGCAGACCAATGCCTGTGGTCCTCCACTAGGGCACTCTCCTAGGTTTAGTCTCCTCTGACTGTACTTTTCATGCTGGTGGACTTCTCCATCCCCCTACACAATTCTTATGTATTTTAGCCTTCTGGGCGTCATCTCTCTCAATTCTTACTGATGAGTAGCAGGCCTTTAGACTCATGATTTGAGAGGATTATTGAAGAAATCATTGAGTGATTGGGGAATTATGCTGGAACTGATTAGCAATATCTGCATGGGCATAGGAATTTGTGTTAATGGAATACATGCCACATACCCTAATATTTCTGTTCTAAGGAAGATAAGAGAATAATGCTAGCTTGGTTGACTCTTGTGGGATCTTTGGAGACCAGAGTCCAAAGTACTAAGCTATTATATATTTCATATTCTGCTTTGTTTCAGAAAAGATTTAAGAATTTGAAGGATTTATGATAGGAAGTTTGGGGCCTGTGGAAAACTGAAGGTGATCATTTTGAGTAGGCTGGTATAGGAAGCCTTTGACAATGACCTCTGTTTATACCCATGGGTGATAAATCCCAATGGTTTAGCAAGTTATTCCTGGGATTTCTGATTAAATAGACTCAGAAAGATTTACAGGAATGGGGTAAGTCTCCAGCATGGTGAGGATTTCAGGCAGAGTGTTTCTATGTTTCATATCTGATGTACTTCCCCTTGCTTAGCAGCTGATATTATTTGTAAGTATATTGAAAAACCTAGGAGAAGTATATTTGCATCTATACACACATGCCTTTTTTGAAATTAATCAAATAAAAACACTTGGAGATATTTTTCTCATTATGTCAGGACCACCATCTCTTAGTTCTATCTAGACATCTCTGGTGTACACCTTTACCAAGAAAGAAAGAAAAAAAATCAGTGATATCATGTGGTAGGTGTTAATAAAGCTATTTTGGGAAGATCAATTCATATTTGTCTCTGGAAAACATGATCAGTCACTTTTCCATGTCTCAAGTGATTTACGCCAAAGCCAAATCTTGATTTTTAACATGAATCATTAATACCATTGCTCTTTGACAATGCCACTGTCTGTTGATTTAGGGGACTGTGTCTGGCCAAAGCCACCTCCTCTAGCTGCTGATGGCTGGTGGATTTTAGAAACTGTCTGATACTCCCATCAATACTTCCCTGTCAATGCACACAATTGTTTCACTTACACATCAACTTGGCAACATACCTTACCCATCAGTAAACACCCACTCCCTTCCTCACTTGGAAACTGGAAGAATTTGAAAGGAAAATGAGGCATACTTTTATACACCTGCAAATCCCAGAAGAACATCCTTTTGAATACTTGTCTGATTCGAGTTTCTTGACATCCTGGGTTTCCAAGCTCTTCCCAAGTTGTAGACGAAGGTTTCTCCCTTCCTGAGGGGTACATAGTGGGGAGGATTCTTCGGTTTCTGGGCCAAGGGTCCAGGGTCAAGTCATGGAAGTGGAGTGGAGGAGGGAAGGCAGCATTTAGAAACTGAACAATGTCACTTCTTACCCGACTCTGCGTTTCATTCTCAGAGAAATGATTTTCTTACTGGTCTCCATGAGACATAATCCTGTTGAGAACATCTTGGCAATTTCATCATCTCTGGAAACTGTTTAGAGGTGATGGCTGGCTGGCTATAAATGTGACTGTAGTTGCCTCATTATTTGTTTTCAGGCAATTAAAGAATTTCTGTTTTTTCCCGCTGATCACAGTGTCAGTATATTGGTGTTTCCAACCAATTTTTAAAGTATGTGAATGTCAGCGGGCTTAATCACCACTCATCCCCTCTAGATGGAAAGACTTGTTCTAACAGCACAGAGGAGCCTCCTCCTCAAAGTTTCTGAGATAGCCCAGAGCACAAACTTTGGGCTCTAGACAGAAGGCCTGGGAGGAGGTCGGGAGGGGGGCGGTGCCCTGTTGGGAGGTGGAGCCTGGGGAGGAGGAGGAAGGGTGGAAAGGGGGGATGGGAAAGGCGGGGTAGGGGCAGTGGGGGGCGGGGGAGGGCAGTGGGGAGCAGGGGGTGGGGGGGTGTAGATAGGGGCGGGGGGTGTCGATGTGGTGTGGTAGGCGTTGTTGAGCGGGTACTTGGCCGGCTGGGTGTTCTTGACTCTGGTGAAGTTGATACAGCGCCCCTAGGAGAGAACCAGGAGGACATGTGAGCAGAGGGCCGTACATCAAGGTAGGTGAGGACTGTGGTGAGTAGTTTGAAGGAAGAATAGAAAGCAGATATCCACGGGTGATACACAGCAGAACCTGACAACAGACTAGCTTTGTTTCCTTTGCCAGTGCAGACTATGCTGCACAATTACTTAGTAAAGTTCATTTTTTCCTGGAGTCTTTAATTCTTTTAGGGTGAGGATGACCTTAATTGGACATGCAGGGTCAAGCTGTGTCCAGAAGTAATCATATTTACCCTCAACAGCCATGCTACCTAGGTATGGTGACCAAGTATCCCCATTTCATAGATGAGGAAGTTGAGGCTCAGAAAAGTCCTTTCCCCAGACCACACAACTGCAAACAGACCCCAGAACACCTATTCTTCCTGCTGTAGTACATTGGTTTCTGAGGATGCTTTCCCAAATTTTATAAACAAAAATAACTTATTTCAGTTCATTTTAACTACACTCCTGGAAGCAGTAGAAAGTTGATATCATGAACTTCTCTTATGTTGTGGATCAAGGGTGCAGACATAGTTTGCAGTCTGAGTTTTCACAGAGGGTGTGCTCTTCAAAGGCTCCGGTGCATCTGCCCCCAGTATGGTCCTCTGACCCCTTCACCTGCCTGTGCCAGCAGGGAATTAAGGAGGCAGCTCTCCCTACTGAGGTGAAAAGGCACAAGTCAATCTAACTTACTCCTCGGGGCACAGGCTCTGTCTCAGTTTATCCTGCTCTTGGTCTGGGCCTAGGAGTCCCACTTCAAGATGCTCTGTACCTGTTCAGGTACTTTTATGTTCTTAAGAAACACACTTTGGGGGCATTTTGTTGCCAACCAGTCATGTACCCCAAATGCAGCTTCTCTCCCACTCTGCATAGACTCAGTGTGGAGTGGCCCCTGGAACCTGCACAGCAGACTCTTGAAAGTCCAGGTCTGAAACCAGCCTGTGGTCCTGTCTCCCCACGGCGCTCCTTCCTGCCCTCCCTCATCAGGCACTCAAAGCCTTCCACCCAACACTCCCTCTGTGAGGGAGAGTCTCCCCTCTTCATCCTCTCACCCTTCCCATAAGACCCTTCTCCTCACTCCAGGGCAGGGTATGGCCACCCTGAGGACTCCTGGTCTCCCTCAGTTTCCCAGACCTGTGGGACATCTTACTGCTGTCTATTGTGTGTCCAGGTTGCCTACAGAGTCCCCACTGCCAGCAGAGGCCAGGTGATGTCACACCTCTCTTCCTCTTTCTCCTTCTCCTGCTCAGATGTAACAGTTCATGGGTCTGGGGCTGGGGTGTGAGGCTGTTCCTGGCCCTTGACCTGAGACTGGATGCTCATCTGGCGGTGTTTAACCTGAGTGGGATCTGTCCAGAGAGTCTGGTTTCTCTTCTTTTGGCTTTTTGGGGAAGGGGCTGTGGGGGGAGGCAGTGGACTCTAGGGAACAATTAGCTCTAAGACAAAAGAGAAAGGTGAGTGTGTGATTTGAGACTTGGCTCAGTTGTGGGGAATGATGGAGTTACCACATCTCCCCACTCATCCTTCAAGCCATGAGTCAAGTTCCTTGTCCTATACTGGTCTTCCCCTGGTGACTCTGGCCTCCACTTATCCTTCCATTCCTGAATTCTCCAGTGACCATCTACACTGGACACGGCAGTCTGTGCACTGCAGTTGTTTTATCTATAAATGCCTTGCCTTCCTGGACAGATGAAAAATTTCTGCAAGGCAGTGGTCTTGATTTGTACTATGCTGTCCCACAACCCAAAGCCTCATGGGCTGCTTTGCATGGTAGGGAGACTCTGAATCAAAATAGAGTTGTTTGAAGTTGCTTGGGAAAAAGTAGGGACTTAGGCAACAAGAACAATAAACTGAAAATTCCTTTACAAGACTGCATTGCTCAGGGAGTATATTGGGGAAGAAGGACCACACCTGACTGGACTGCAGTTAGTTCAGGAGTGACGAGGCCCTGTGTAGATGCCAGAACCCCAGTTCTTCTGAGTTTGCATTTCGTGAGACTAACCCAGGACCTAACCTTATCAGGTTCTGATTGGGAGTCCAATAGCTACAGAAATAAGTTACCATCTTCTCTTTGCCTTATTCACAACTCCCAGCACAGGTGCCAGCTTTCAGGGTTTAAGTAGATTTTTGTAACCCAGTACTTGCAAATACCCATTCATCCAAGCAGCTCTCTTTTATAGCTTTGTAAATCTAAGCCTTGGTTACAGTTTATTCATGATGCTGAATAAACTTCTTTCCTTCAAGATGTTATAGCCTGCTGGTTGCCATCTGTGATAAATTCCTCAGCTCAGAGTTGGGATTTACTGTACTACCTATTCTGCCCTTCATTGCTAGACATCTGACTCAAACCAAGAGGCTCAAGAGATTTGTTTCCTTTAAAGAAGAAGGGAAATTCTGAGCCTAGGCAGAGGCCTGCTGGTGCCTGGGCAAAGGACCCTATCTGACTTCAGATCTCATTTACAGCTGGGCACTTGGCTGGATAAGGGAGGAGGCTAATTAGTATAGAAACCCATAAACTCCTTAGTGGAGTTGGGACTTTGCTGTTTTTACCAGAGGCTGTTGTGTCCACAGAAGACTCCAGCCTTCTTCTACCAATACTTCTGCTCATAACCTATAGTAGAATTCCTAAACCTTTTTAAAAAGGTCTGAAGGGATCCAAGAATAAAAGATGACCCCATATCTATCAGCTGAAGGTAGGATGCCGAGGCAGTGGGAGTCTGGGGGCTAGGGGAAAGGCTAGGAACCCCTTTCCTGCAGTAACAACCCAGGGCTGCACCTGCAAGGCTGTGGTTTATCACAGACTTCCAACCATTTCAGCAGAGGGCCATAGCCCAGAGCTCCCATAAACAGCTGGTGTGTGTGTGTGTGTGTGTGTGTGTGTGTAAGGGGCAAGTTCACAGGACCTGATTCCCTTGCTTGGTGGGACACTTCACAGTGTGACATGGGGGGGGTCATCACACTACCTGCCACTTATAGGCATTATGAAAATCATGTTGGTGAAGGGTCTGGAGCAGTGTCTGGCTCATAATGTTTGGTAAACATGTTTGAATCTAATGTTGTCTCTCTAGACAAGGAAGCACGTGCTCAGACACAGTAATGACCTTGTCTACTGTAGACTTCCAGCTGGAGGTAGCATCAAGTGTTCTGACTTCCGGTTTATGGCTTTCTGAGTGGGATGCGGACGAGGGTGTCTACACTCCACAGCTGGCCTCTATAATAGAATTGGTAAGTAAAAAAAGGTAGCATGGCATGTGACTAAAGCATCCTCCAGAGCCTGCTTTCTTGTGCCCCACCTTCTTTCCTCTTGTTGCTATGGAACTTCTGTAACATTTCTTAGAGGACCCTCCCATAGTGCTTTGCACACACAGTTAATTGGTGATACAGTCACATGTACTCATCTTCCTGAAAAAAGGTGCAGACTCAGCATAAATGCAACCCTGGGACAGTTTACAGTAAGACACACTATCTTCATATGAGGGGTGGGGCTAAAATTAAATTTTTAAAAACCTGGAGCCAGAGGTGCCAACACAAACACCATAACACTTAGGCCATATAATTGGCCTAAAGATCAGTTTACACGACTTCATTTTTTACTTGCAAGAGGATAACAGAAAGGCCAGATGTGCTCTCTGTCAAATGTGCCAGTAAATCTACACCAGTGTTTGGTTAAAAGGTTGCTAGGATGATTGGAGCTCTCACTCCATAACACTGGTCTCTGTAACCCAGTTTAATTCTCTCCAGTATTGTTTTTGGGTGGTTTGATTCAGCTCCCAGATTTGGCTTTGACCTCAGTTTACCTTGCCTCCTTCTTTAGTAAACTATGAAGGCCAATTATTTTCAAATAGTAGCCACGAAACACTCTAGTAAAATTCTAAGATGAAGAGGCAATAATATCTTCTAATGAGAAGATTATCAGATATGTCCAGGCACATGATTTTCTTTATTTTCACAACTTCTGAGCTAAGTATCATTACCTTCACTGTACAGAAAGGAAACAAAGACCTCAAACCTATTTAAATAACTTGCCCAAGACTCAACAGGGATTAAATGAGAGTGGGATTAAAACCTAACTCTGCTTGCCTCAAAAACTCATCCTCTTTTGGGCCAGGGATTTAGCTCAGTGGTTTCACTGCCTGCTGTGCAAGCGCAACGACCCGAGTTCGATCCCCGGTACCAAAGAAAAAAACAAAACAACAAAACTCATCCTCTTTTTACTGCATTATCTTGAGTATCAACAAGAAATGCAAATAATTTCTTGAAATATTTGTAGATAGTACCACACAGTGTAGCACTTGGTCACAATCTATCTGCTGTTGATACAGCTGTTAAGAGGTTTTTCCAGAATGTAAATCTGCGCAGTCAATTCACTCTCCAGGTCAAAATTCTTCACGGTCTCCCTACCACCTTTAACATAAAATGCAAATACTGTATCTCCAATGCCACAGGCAGCCCTTGTGATCTGGTCCTTGCTTATACTTTTCACTTAATTTCTTGCTCTCTCACTGTAGGATGTCCAGCCTGGCCCATGCTAAACCCTCCATGAGCACTTGTTAAATGAAGAGTATAATGTAGCACTTGATACTCTTCTTCATAAGTTTCTCAGCATCAGAGTGCTCTGGAGTTGGTTGGTGAGCTTCTTCAAGGTGGCATTAGCATCCTTCCTCTTGAACCTAGTGCTGCTATAAAGATCTCAGGGTTCAAGTTTAAGTTAGCACTTCACAAGTGATGCTCATATACCTGTGGGTCTTTGAGGTGCAGCAAGCATTCATAGAAAGCTTGGATTTTCCCTGTAATGTTAGGCTCTTAAAAGTCCAAGGGTCCATTAAAATGGCTAAGAGCTTTAAGGATTCCTAAATTACCTCCTCCTGGCCTCTTTGAACATTTCTAGGATCTTGGGGAAGGAATGGTAAGGATCCTATGTGCTCCCTTTGGTTCCAGTATTTTAAATGTTAACGTGTTATCCTTAAAAAAAA